TAGAAATAATAAAATAATAAATAAGTTACACTTTTATTTGTCCCGGAAGGGCACTTTGGTTTACATGACAAACACACATTTACATACATATAATTATAAATACGTACATAAAGAAAAATAATGAATAAATACATACATAAATACACAATATTACAAATACATAAAAGCTTAGCCACTGGAGCCCCTATTAATTTCAGGGTGATGCCAAAACATAAAAAAACAAAAACAAAGGGAGCCTGATCGTTACTGTATGCAAAATATTGTTGAGCTTAAGAGATCGTGCCAAGCATTAAATAACAAAAAAACCAAAACAAAACAAAAGAGAAACCATAAAAATGACTTGGCCCAAATTTGACAAGTGGTACCAATTCAGTAAGAATGCTTTGAAGAAGGGATCAAAGATTTGTTCTTTGATCTAAGAATTATCATTGTAGTATTGGATTGATTCTAAAACTAAAAGGGGAAAGCTGTTTCAGCCAAATCTTGCTTTGTGGTATTTTCATGGTGACAAAATACGAGAAGCAAAGCAAGCGATTAAAAAAAATATTCCACTATCATAATTTGAAATTTCCAGTGTTATAATGTGGAGCATGCTGATTGTCTCTGTACAAGGGTAGGGAATAGAACGTCTTTGTGGTGGTAGCTTTGATAAGACCGTCTGACCACAGTAGTGAGCTCACTAATGATTCCAGACGTAATTTGTTTCTTTCCCGACTTAGCCAGACACAAGGGATTGGGTTTTGATTAAGCGCATATCTCTGCTCAACAGCAAGTCCTCTATGCCACTCACAAGCTATATTATTATTGTCCCAAATAGATCCCAGAACAATCAGAAACATTCTCGGCTTCCCGGGAAGCGAGCCCAATATCCTGACGACTAGCTACCTATTTTCATTTTGTCCCGCAATCCTTTTATTTTGACTGTGAATTAGTTTATTTGCCCTTGATTTGAGGCGTTAAAGTCTGTCTGAGGTCAATGGTCTAAGTTGTAAGTGCGGGTTTTTTTCATTTCAAGTATCAGTTATCGCCCATTTCCCTTCACTATCCCCTCCACCTCCCTCTCTCTCTCTCACACACGCACACGCACGCACGCTCACACACACACACACACACACACACACACACAC